ACCCCCCCCAGACCCCCCCCCCCCGATAAGTTACAACTCCCCCCATAGACCAAGGGGCACGCATTGAGTTGGCGCGTTTTCGTTCATGTGCACACTCTTCATGCACATGCATAGATAGTTCTGGCACTGTTTGTGAGCAATAAGTAAATCCGACCAAGCAAAGGCCCAAAGCAAGCAACCGCATAGCAAATCACAGGCCGTCACCCGCCACTGCAAACCACAGCACACGGTGGCTCAGTGTCCCTGGCCTCTTGACAGCGCGAATTCACGGTTCAGGATAAAAACAGTGAAAAGTTGCCCAAACCTTGGGACGTCAAAGAATTGGGTGAATTCTGATGAATCCAGAAGCTCTATAAACAACGTCTTCTCATATTGTCAAAAAGGCTTGAAGGCAGTGGGACAGCGAAAACTGCGCCGATCTTCAATATAAATTAACGTCGTCTTTACAGCACTGATTACAGCACTGATCTCGCCGTAATGAGTAGGGTGTGTAAGCTTTGACGCTTATGTTATGAATCTGGACCTCAGCTCGCACGACAAAGACCCCGACGTTGGCTCGCACCCCAAAAACAGCTGGCTGAAACAATTTATGCAGCCAAACTCATCGACAGTATGCTAAACAATACATGGGCTGTATGCAAGGTTCAACATGACAGTTCCCCTTTTGCAAGAAGCATGCAGCATACTGTCGGTTTTTTTCACTTTCGAACCATGGACGCTGACCAGCAAGTCCCGGCTGGGTTTTAATTGGACGGTCGATCTGCCCGGACTTGTCACCCACCCGAGTTTCATCGCGTCCGGATGGGTAACCATGTACTGTAAGGCAAATTGAGTTGCGAACTGGTGAAGTTGGTAACTTAGAAGAGTGCATGGTGTGCCTTGACAGCACCCTTTATATCTTCAGGCCCGCTAACGCACCGCTAAAACAGCTTTGGTTTAGATTCACAGAAAAATCGAAGACTCCTTTCATGAAATCCCTTCGGACTGGAGCGGCCAATTTGGTCCCCTCATGACCAACGCCTCTCACATACAAAGAAGCACATCGCGTGATCCCCTCCGCCCGCCTTTCCTTTGTGGCAGCACACCAGGAAAGGGCCCAGCCCAGGAAAACCCTTCCGCCATAAAACGGCATCCGCAAAAATATGTTTCGTCGAGACTGATGTCACTCATCTTCGCTCAGGCTTTTGGGGCTCGTGTGGCCTTATGTGCATGTGCATGCCTTGTCTTGTATGGTTTGGTTGTCCGCCAATTGTACGACAAATGCTGAATCCTTCGATTCCACATGTGTTGAGTTGTTCAAGGCAATGTTATGTTCACGTAGCGTGAAATTACTTAGCGTAAAATAGCTCCAAGTGGTGCTTATGAAGGGATCGAGCCACTGTTGCGCGACGTCTGCTATACGCTTTGATCGCATCTCCTGGAGCCCTCCGGGCAGTGAACACGCGTAACACGTCGTCCAGCATCTCAATTACTGGAGCTGCATCGCACTGTTTGTTCAGCAAATGGCAATAAGCTTTTGTTCTGCGATGCCGCACCCGTACGGCACCAGGACTCGGCTGTCGATTTGACTATGCCGCAACCACACGTTCAGCTTTGGCCAGGCATGGCAGGTTTCGGAGCTGGCAATGGAGCAGCCGCTGCAGCAGCCCCAGACGGTGTAGCGGCGGCGGCAGGACGGCGGATTCTGGCCGGTGTGCCATGCCTGCTAACGTCGCTGGGGGAGCTAGGTAGGACTCAGGGGCTCAGGGCCACAACTTCGGTACCATTGTTATGAGCATTCCGTTGATTACGGTAATGACTAACATATCATTATTACTATTACTTGTGACGCACAGGCGGAACAACGCCTGCCGTACTTCTTCACAACGCGACACGACACGGCACTTCCTAAGGGGACATTATTGAAACAACATCTCCTGCTCTCTCCTGCTCCGGTCCGTTCACACGCTCTCGTACTTTCAATACTTTCGAGAAATTTAAATCCGAGAGGCCCCTCGTCAGGGCATGGAAATGTGTAGTAATCCGGCCCGCGAACAACATCGCGGCGGAAGTCATCCAGATACAGCTCTCCTTTGGCGAAATAAGTTGCCCAGAAGCGTTTAAAAAATAAAACTACCATCATAAAATAGAATGCTCTATAAGTATAGCAAAAATTCTTCATCGCTCTTTTTTTGTACTGGATACAAGAACTCTACCTTTCCTACCGGCTGCATTCAACGTCAATAGGGCCCCACGTGCATTCTCGAATACAGGAACTTCCGGTTTTCGACTCGACTCACAGGATGTCACAAGATAAGCAGTTTGTGATTGTTGCAGTGGACCGCGATCGAGTCGAGTGCAGCACGCCAAGGAACGCCTCCTGCAGAACACTGATATGCAGGCCTTTAGCCCGTGCATGCCTGTACATGCCCGTACTCGCAATTAATCGCCGTCCTTCGTCACGTCTTGGCCAATCGCAATGTCAACGATCCCGTAATTTTGCCATCCCGCAGATAATTGGACCAGGGCCCCAATAGACTGTCGACGCTGCCAGCACAATCACCATCGATGACCCGTGGGTCGCTGCAATTACTTCCGCCGCCTCCGCCGCCTGTATCCTGCTGCTGGTGCTGGTGCTGCAGCTGCTGGGGGTGCTGTTGTGTTGGGTGTTGATTCAGTGGTAGCGCATTGCTCCAGCCCCAGCAGTGTTTCAGGTCCATTAAGCCCGCCTGGGAGCGGCATCTAATGTCCTTACGGCAGCCATCCTGCCACCGGTTCACCGCCAACTCAACCGTGTCGCGCACCACCATCCGACACGCGGCCTCCTCACACAATCGTGACCCAGGCACCGCAAACGCGGGCGGCAAGTCACACTGGACATATAGCCCCGCGAACCGCTGCTGCTGCTGCTGTTGTTCAAGGAGAGGCTGCGGCTGTGTTCCTGCGGCGTAGACCTCGATCCAAACGGAATATGCAATGCCTGCCGCAAAGCAGTACTCAGCACCATCGCCTCCGCCTCCGCTGCCTCCCGCCTCTGCCTGCGCCACTTGGCCGTCAAACACGCACTCCACTGCTGCGCACGTCTGATTTCTGTCCCTGCAGTTCAACTCCGCTAGGGCCGCAAGCAGATCTTCCTGCCGTGCATGCCACTGGACTATGAAACCCGTTTCCGGAATGCACTGCGGCCGTTGCTTGGGGTTGTAAGTAGCGCGCCGCTTCGGGTCCTTGGCCCTCTCTTCAACGAGGTCCATCAGCAGAGCTTGCTCGCACTCGTCACGGGCGCTTACGATGTTGGCTATGAAAGCCGCTTCCGACACGCCGATCGGAAACCAGCCACACTGATCATCCTCATTGCCATCGTTTCCAACATCAAAGTTCCTAGCCATGGCCAATTCGTAGTCCGCCGCCAGAGCTGGCAAGATTGTACCAGCGTACGGCCGGCTCAGCTGAGCCAGTCGTACCGTACGGCACAGGCGCTCGCGATCTTCGTCATTCGTTTTGTGGAAGTTCTCCCGCATCCACGTGGCCAGCAGCAGCAACACGCTGGACTCGCAGTCTGTGGCCAAGTCGTCAGAGCACAGGAGCAACTCCAGCGCGATGGCGGGCAGCGACAACAGCCGCTTGTTGAGCAGGGGGCTGTTGAGAACGGCAAGTGTGCTGCCAAAGTGAGACGCCAGGCAGTCGCCAGCACAGGTCAGAACATCTGCGAAGCTGGCTTGTGCCCTGGCATCATCAGGCCACAGCTCCTGGCATTCGCACAGCTCACGCACCCCCCCAAGTGGTGCGTGAAATGACCATCTTCCGTTACAACCACCTCCTCCAACACTGCTGTTATCGCTGCCGCTAGGGCTATTACCGCTGCCAACAAAGCTGCCGCCCCCGCCCTGCCGGCCACCGTCCCTTGAAACTGCCAACTGGAAAACTGGGAGGGCGGTTCTTGCGGCTTCCATGCAGTTCCTGTATTTCAGCGTTCTGGCTTGTTCTGCGACCTCCTTTATCAGTCTCTTTATGAGTTCATCACACGCCGCCGCGCAGCCGTGGATCTGCAGGTAGCCGCCCTGCCGCCGAACCTCCAGAGCCTCGCGGACGCTGCCGGCGGCCACTTGACCCGTGTAGGCGAACTGGATGGCGGCACGGGTGCTGGACACCTCCGCCGCACTGCCTAGAGGTATAAGCAACTCAGGCGAAGCCAACACCAAGTGAGCTGTCGATATCCTTCCTACAGCGCCATTTTCTGTTGTGGTACAACGAGCACGCTTACGTCTGATGGGCTGCGTGGAATTAATTGTACCGCACCAGCGCTCTAGCTGCGTGTATTGTTGGGGTTTGGGGATATCGGGCATTATTTGGGGCCTATTGGGGATGTGGGCGGCAAGTGGGCACACTGGGGTAGGCTGAGCTGTTTTTTAAGTGCAGCATATACAACAACAACCGAAAGCAACCGATTTTTTTACCTTTGATTTGAAGTGTTCAGACCCATTCCGCAGTACGAAGCGATGGCCGGGCATTGGGTCGCCAAATACCTCCCACTGAGAGGAATCGTCCATCCCTCCACGCCGACTGCCGGAAGTGGCCGTTTCCTCCGACTGTTCTACAGAGCGCTCCCGACAGAAGATAATTACGCAATCAGAGTCTTGTTGAGAGCTGAACAGTTTGGAGAGGCCCCGAAGAACGTGCCGGTTGACGGGGACATCGCAGTTTTGCATGGCGATAACAAACGCAGGAAAACGCTGGGGATCGTGCAATATCAAGAATTTATATTATTTAAAATCGCGCCAGATTCATTCCGCCTTGCTATCTCCCACTAACGCGACCGGATGTCGGTTACATGCGTTTCATTCGTACATTGTCCGAAAACGGTACAACGCGCGAATTCGGGCAAAAACGTCAGATAGATGAAACATGACTTTCAATAGTTTCACTTAAGCTCCTTTAATGTCTTTCTATGTGCAGTTATCACGGGTGGGCTTTATTGGGCTTCGGACCTAGCCCTAACCTAGCCGCACCTTCAACTTTGACGATACGCAGACCCGCTAAACGCGCAGCTGAGAATAAGAATATTTTATGTTTATTCATAAGCCTTATAATTCAGCGAACAATCGAAGGCTAAGGTTTTGGGGTTCCATCGCTAGATGGCTATTTAAAGTGCTGTAGTCATGAGACGTCGATCGAATCCAAGTGCTTACAAAACATATAATAAGGCTCAAATTTTCATGAGTCGATCATGAGTCCTAGGTGGATTTTGATAGGCAGTAGTCATGCTGAGTGGCTGTGGAGTTTGCATCACAAAATCGTAAGAACGAAGGACACTGTCAGCCCACATCAATTAAAAAACGCAATATATGCTATGCACGCCAGCCTTGCACCCACAAACATAGTACAAGGCTGGTGCCATGGGATTGCGCAACAATACTGCGCTGGTAAACCTGTTCCAAGTCATGGATAACTGTAAAATGCAGAAACTAAATTGTTTTGCAATTTACAGCAAGATCTTGACGTACAGGGTACGTCTCACAACCTGGATCTTGATACGGCATCTTGATACTTGTCCTGTCCTGTCCCGTCCAGGCAAACCCACCTTATCAGCTCTTCCAGCCTCCTCCCCCGGCACGTGAGGAGGACGAGGTTAGACCGGGGACTTGGAAATTTTAGGGCCTTTCGTTGACGTAACAACGGTACGTTATTACAGTAGGGTGTTGTACAAGCATGGCCTCACGACTACTAAATAATAAAAGAAAACTCCATGCACAGCATCTTCAGAGACCTTCTAAATATTCACCAGTGTTACAGTTGCCACATATTACCCAACATCACACCCTACAATACCAATGTGACATGTACACGAACACGAAGACGTAAGGCCCTCGGAGCACATGCGCATGCACTTCTGGCAGCGAGCTACGGCTGCGGCTCTTTCTGCTTCAGGGGCCGAGTACTACTGCACCCGCAGAACTGCACCTCCTCTACAGCCATCACCAGCCAGGCAGGGCCAGACATTCCTCCGTTTTAAGATATGCGTTAAATTGATATCTTCATAGATCACTTCAATTTTGTCCAACAACCAACATTCTACCTGCTTATCGCGCGCGCACAGTAACTGCAATACGCAACTCAGCTACAACAAGGTCCCATTCAATACTTCAACGCTCTCCTGCTCTGCTAGCTTGCGCGATTTTGCGCATATGCCCGTCTGGAGCACGAAGTGCCGTACACGGTCAATCGGACGGTTTTTCCCTTCACCATACACAGCATTTTACATTTAGGTGCGTTTTGCGCGTTACAAAATAAGTACTCACAGACATGGTGGATGATCCGCCAACGAATTGGCTCACTTACCCTTTATGCAACCAGCCAGCCAGCCAGCCAGCCAGCCAGCACCGACGTGTGCACATCCCCGAGGTGTAGGACAGCTTGGTTCGGCATAATAAGCTTTACAAATAAAGACCCCTTCAACTGCTGGCACCGGCAGCAAGAGAACCATATGCAATTTGAAGTCCATCCTATGTACTAGCGGCCTCCTTGGATCTCTTCTGGTTCTCGGCCCGTTAATGTACCTGATTGTAGATTTGTCCCTTGCGCCAGGCAAATTAGATAAAATTAGCCACACATAGAAGCGTCTGACATTTAATCCTCGCAGGGCAAACAAAACAAGAAGCCCCGGTGTAAGTAAGCCCACTTCATCACGCAGTAGATCAACGTCTGTCTGTCTGTGCCAGCAGATAACTGGGGGTAGCGGGGACAGACAGCCCCCAGAACACCAACCCACGCCCATGCCGGTGCTGCCGGCGCGCTAGCCAGCCCGTCATATACAGTAAGTACCTACCCATGGTGTAGACAACACGCAACATGTGATGGACATGGATGGAGGGATGGGATGGACGGATTTGTGTATTTGTGAGCCTCAACGGTTTGTAGGGCGCCGCAGCGTTAATGTCCCGGTGATCCTTCCTTCACGCAAATATTCTGACCAAGCCGCCAGCGAGTCAACGCTATCACCGGCCCCGCCGCCGCTGCTGGCACCGCCGCCACCGCCGCCGCCATTGCTGTGTATGGCCCCACCCGGCACCCCTGTGCCGCCGCCACCGCCGCCGCCACCACCACCGCTGGCACTATTACCGCCAGCTGGCCGCTGCTGCTGCTGCTGTGGCTGCGGTTGCCGCTGCGCCTGCGGCAATGTTGGCTGCTGGGCCGGCAATACTCTGAGAGGCAGAGCGTTAGGCCACCCTCTAGAGGAGCCGCGCTCTATCATCTGCGTCTTCGAGCGGCATCGGATATCCAACCGCGCACCCGCCCGCCATCGGTGCACGAGTAAGTCTGCATTGTAACGCACCACCATGCGGGTGGCGGACTCCAGACACAGCCTCGACCCGGGCACCGCAAACGCGGTTGGAAGCTCACACCGCACAAACAGCCCCGCAAACGGTCGCTGCGGCCCGTAGAACATCTTAATCCAAAGGGACCAGGAGAAGCCGGCGGCGATGTAGATGCTGCAATCGCTGTCGCTGATGCCACGGCCGCTGGCCTCGAAGGTGCAACAAACCTTAGCCGTCTTGCCAGGTTGCAGGCGCGCCAGTGCCGCCAGCAGCTCCTCCTGCCGTACATGCCACCTGACTTCGAGGCCCGTCGGCGGTATGCACTGCGGCCGCCGGTTCAGTTTCATTGAGGCCCACTGAGATGCCAGGGGGGCCTTGTCAGCTTGGTTCAGAGCCATCGCCAGCAGCTTTAGCCGCTCGTCCTCCTGTGCATTAACGACACTCGAGGTAAAGAGGGCGTCCGCGAGGTTCAAAGGAAACCAGCCAGATGGCTTTTCTTCGGCCCCCAACGCCAATTCGTAGTCCGCCGCCAGAGCTGGCAAGATTGTACCAGCGTACGGCCGGCTCAGCTGAGCCAGTCGTACCGTACGGCACAGGCGCTTGCGATCTTCGTCATTCGTTTTGTGAAAGTTCTCCCGCATCCACGTGGCCAGCAGCAGCAACACGCTGGACTCGCAGTCTGTGGCCAAGTCGTCAGAGCACAGGAGCAACTCCAGCGCGATGGCGGGCAGCGACAACAGCCGCTCGTTGAGCAGGGGGCTGTTGAGAACGGCAAGTGTGCTGCCAAAGTGAGAAACGAGCGATGCTCCAGCGCATGATAGGACGCTCGCGAAGCTTGCGTCTGCGCTGGCGCCCTCCGGCCACAGATTCTCGTGTTCATACAGCTCAAACGCTGCCTGCAGCCCCAAGCTCCGTAAGCCCTGAGTGCTTCCCCAGCAGCCTGCAGCCTGTGGCTTCCGTTTTTGCTTCACAACCGCTCCCGTTATGTCGGTACTTAACAGCGCATCGTCGGACGCGACCTCCTTTATCAGTCTCTTTATGAGTTCATCACACGCCGCCGCGCAGCCGTGGATCTGCAGGTAGCCGCCCTGCCGCCGAACCTCCAGAGCCTCGCGGACGCTGCCGGCGGCCACTTGACCCGTGTAGGCGAACTGGATGGCGGCACGGGTGCTGGACACCTCCGCCGCACTGCCTAGAGGTATAAGCAGCTGCGGATAACTGAGCGTAGTCGGAGCCGGTGTTGTTGCTGCTGCTGATGCTGCTGCAGCTGATGATGATGATGGTGCTGTCGCCGTCCGTCGTGATGAGCTCACTCGCAGCCGCTTGCTGGGCGCTGGGGCGGCATCGCCATTCTGTGCTTCGCACCAGCGTTCGAGCTGCAAGGGTAAAAGGTTGGGGAGGGGGAACGCTAGGCTGGGTGCGTGCGTTTCATGGCAGCTTGCGTGGCGAGGTACGTAAAAAACAGGAAAAAACGGATAGACGACGAAACAGTTGGCATGGTCATTGGTTTTCGCCACCAAAGCCTTACGCTCGCCTCACCTTCGCTTTAAAATGCTCCGATGCGCATCTCAATACGAAGCGATGGCCGGGCATGGGGTCGCCGAAGACTTCTTGGCGAGAGGGTTCGCCATCCGGACCCTTCCGCTTCGAGGATGAGGCCGCTTCCGATATCGGATTGGAGCAGCGTTCCCGACAGAAGATAATTACGCAATCAGAGTCCTGTTGAGAGTTAAACAGTTCGGAGAGGCCCCGAAGAATGTGCCGGTTGACGGGGACATTGCCGATTTGCATGAGTGGCAGAATAGATAGAATTATAACAATCCGTTTATTCCAAAGGTTGAAAGTTACACGAGAGCTGCACCACTACCTTGCGCTAGGTAGCCTCGGGAATAGTTCCATGGGAAGCAAGCTACGGGGCTCTGGTTGACCACGGGGAAAACATATTGTTGAGAAGGAAGTACGTACACTGTTATATAAAGTTTTATTGCAAAAAAAATCTTGACTCGCTGTTTTAGTCTCGCATCACATTTGCATGACGTTTCAACTTCTGTAACGGCCAACGATTGGCTTCTGGGCGCTGTGCAGCCCTCCCACGTTGCGTCATAATAATATCTCAGTCAGTAGTAACTTGTATTTATTCATAGCTTAGACCTTCCTTTCCGGTAGGCCGTCGTCAAAGGTGGTTGCTATTGTCGCGACTTGTGGCGACTCTGGGTGCGTAGTCGCCATCTTCCCCCTCGTCACATACAGTAGTTCATACAGTAAAGTGTGCCCTTCAATCAGACGATAGATTCGTACAATCCTTATGGTATGAATCGCTGCAGACTACAGAGGACTGGTGATGAAAACCACCGCCGTTACGTGCATGTAAAAGCACCTATACAATGTCCCCGGAGGCAGCACCATAATGGCACTGCTGACAAGGCCGATAAGTCGCATTGGCTGTTGTGCCGCCAGCCAGCCAGTCAGACGTTAGGATGTGCATCCATGTGTGTATGTATGTACGTATCTACTCCGCAACCACTCCAGTACAAACCTATCCTAAGCTTCATCCTAAGTATCCGAAGCTATTGATTCAAACATTTCTGAAGTGCAATCTTCATCAGCGGATCAAGGCCAGGTATTGCAGCAACCCGTTTGCGTATGCAACCCATTGAAATTCACAAACCCGATCCGTCGTCGGCGGGTTAGCCGGACTGTGCCGATGCGCTGCACCAGCACGGTGAGCGAGGTTAACCCCTCGGGAGGGCGCTCCTCATTCGCAGGCCTGATCTGCTGCCGCTGCATGTAGTACCGGTCGTTCAGTATTAATGACTCACTCAGATATTAATGACGCATTCTCGCTAAATCGCTCTGCCAGCATCTCGGGGCGGCCAGCGCCTCTCTGCTACGCGTGTGCCATATATCGATACGATCGAATCCCCTCAGTGGATGGCGACCGGGTGGGCGGGCATTTGCCGGCCGGGCGGCTTGCATTTGGTGACTTCTGCGCCCAATTCGTCCAACCGACGAGAGGGACAACATGCCATGCCTTTTCATTACGAGGTTCACATTTACAACATGATCCCTAATAGGCCTAAATGTTTGACATTCCCTGGCAAGCATTACTCACTCCCGTGCAAATACATCCTGCTGGTTGCAACATAGCATGACAGTAAGTACACCGAGAAAGGAAGAAAGGTACGACGACAATGCACTACATGTTTATGCAGGGGCAACCGAAATCGTCGGCAGCACGAAATGTAAACACCCGCAGCCTACCATACTTAACCCGCTACAACTACCTGCTATATGAGCCCGCCGGCCTTAGGCCTTTGTAGCATGGTTAGCTATTCGTCTAGCAGGTCTTCCTTTGCCAAGACTTAACGTTGTTGTCGCATCACAGTACAGCAGGTATGTAGCAAAGTAGCAAAATAGAAATGCGTCCGGTCGTCCGTCGTGTTCCATTCATGCAGCGCAGCGCAGTGCAATGCAAAAGCCAGTCTAGCTAAAGATTTACAAAAAAAGCTAGTGCAATGCGCAGTGCAATGCGATGAAAGCAACCCTAAAACCTAGTTGCTAGGAGGTTACCAGTAGGGCTGATGAGGACGAACACGACAAAACAGCCTGCGTGCAGTCGCCAGTCCTGTCGCCATCCTGCCATGTACACATGAACCTAAACCATTTGCATGCCTGCATGCCCTGGAGACTTCTGAGCTTGCTTGCTTGCTTGAGATATGCGTACGCATCCGTGCTTCCGAATGCCCGTACGGTACAAGGCGGTCCTGCCCGCAGGTACAAGGCGGCCATCATCAGAGGCGCACGTGCGCATGTGCATTGTCCGAGTCGTCGTCATCGACCATGCAAGGAAGCACAGACAGAACTGTATAATCCACCCGCGAGCTAAAACTGCGGCCGGCAGACACCCCCACCGCAGTATCTACCTCCGAACAGAGATAGACGAGCCCAGCCATGTATGGGTTCGCCTTGTTGCTACACACCTGCTCGGGCCCCTAGCAAGCCCCTCGTGCACGCTTTCAGAAGTCGAGCCATGCCTGCCTCAGAAATAATTGATCAACGCTCGCAAGTATGTACGTGTGTGTGTATGTATGCATGTAGTCAGTCGCCTGCCGGGCTGAAGGTGCAGAAAACCCGCCGACAAAACGACGCACACACGTGTGGAAGGTCATCAAGATCACTTGCCTCATAATCACACGCACCCGACATGAAGCCTTCCCTGCCAAACCCATAACCAGGTAGCCAATAAGCCAGGTTGCACATAGCAAAAGATAGCGGATGCCTGCAGAGATATCTGTCATGCATACGTTGGATAAATATTGTCATGCGACGTTGCGATATAATGTCATGAAGCAGGGCCCCACATATGCCCGCCGATGAGAAAGGGATAACGAACCAAGTAAGAGCAACCCTAATAGTAACAAATTTACCATTACTGCTGCCGCTGCTGCTGCAGCAGCACCAGAAAATGAATTGACACGTCAACAGTGGGAAGTGCGCAGCACACGCGCTGGCTAGTTGAGATATAGACCCCATACGCCGCCGCCGTGCACGCGCTCCTGCATGGCTTACACTACTCCACATACACACATACCACATACATACATACAAACATGGACAGAAGCTACCACGTGCTTGGGTTGCAGGAGCAGCAGGAGGAGGTTACCCTGGACGACGACCAACTGGTGCCCTCGTGGCCCATATCAAGCCCGCCCCCATGCACAGGGCTGAATGTACTTACAGAATGTATGTAGTTGCTCGCTTCTTCATCAGGGCCAGCAGCCAAATCAATTGACCGACTGCGGTGGTCAGTTGCTTACATATTTGTGTTCCTCTATCTAGGGCGGCCTACTGCCGGGTGCATGTGGGGCTATTAATCATGTATGTGTGTGGCGGTGCATATGCAACACCTCCCTAAAACATATTCCACGCATTAGCTGCCGTTCTGCCAGCCACCAGCTGCACCAGCTGCTGAAGAGCTGTTGTTGCCGGAAGTCCGGAGGGGTAACTCCGCAGTGAGGTCCTGCAAAAACAAGGCGGGGAGTGTTATTTTACAGTTATCATCATCATCAGCTGCAGTGTTACCAGGCGAACAGAAAAGGCATTATATATTTGCATCTCGTCAATAATTATCACGTAATAAATATTTTATATACAATAATTGCAACCACTAACCCTAAGGACCGGAAGATGAGCGCCAGCACGGTATCCAGCTGTCTGGCGTTAAGGAGGAGTGGTGGGACCGGCTAATGATCGATCCGCTGGCGGCTGATGATGAAGCGCGCACTAATGGGTGGACATGTATGCACGTAGGTATGTATAGTGTGAGTGGTGGCATGGTGGTATAGACTGTAGATGTGGAAGTGAGGTAGGCCGGTGCCTGCCTGGGCAGGGACATCCTTAAAAGAGGCCTCCAAGGATATATGTGACCTTTTATGACATCAATCATCATACCATCGACCATGCAATAATCAATAACATCGCATGCAATCAACACACAGCAACTGCAGTAGCTGTAACGTGCGTGTGCCCGCCGCAGCAGCTGAGCGGAGTAGAGAGTGTAGAGCCGCATTCTTATCATTACCATATTTTAATGATGACGACAGTCGTCACACGCGCACACACCGTGATGATCGCACTCACCTCCTCACGATGGAAGCTATCGCTGTTTTTACGCACGTGCAACGCCGTTCGACTGGTACTTGACGGGACATTTGTCGACCCTTGATAAAGAGGCCCCTGCTGGAGTGCGGACAAGAAGAAGAAGTGGTAGTGCGGGAATTATTATTTGCGACATATGCATGGAAGCATGGTGGCAGCAAAATTTTAGACCTGTTTTGGTAAAAGGATATCCCAAAGGAAAAATGTCCCAGCCATAGACGTACGTCTATTCATTTTCAATCACGGCGGAGTCAACCTTCTCCAATTCGTAACACACAAAAAAAAAGACACACACGCACACAAATTCCCATCAGAAATGTTTGGCTGTAGTGTAGTTAAAAAAGGACAGCGCGCCACGTACCTGCTCCCGCTGCTGTTGCTGCTGCTTCGGTGGCCGGGGGGGTCGAAGTGACGGGTTAGACGGGCCGGGGCCGGCACTGGCGCCGCCGCTACTGTCGCTGGCACGGCCGCTGCCGTCCGTTGTCCCCGGGGGCGAGGCGGTGTCCATATAGGCCACCTGGGACGGCGCCGTCCTCGGTGCTGGTGCAGCTGCGGTCACCGCCGAAGGCGGGGACTCCAAAATGAGCTTTCGACTGCTGCTGCCCGTGATCTCCGTGCTGTTGTAAACAGAAGACGCCGGGACGGCTAGGGGAGGCAGCCGCGGCCTCCCATCTGGGAGGGCGTTTTGCGAGAGCACGCGCTCCTCCCCGGCCACCAGCGGGGCGCTCCGTTGGCTTCTGCTTCCACTGGGACGAGCAGCCGAGGGTGAAAATGCGCCCGCCGGACTAATAGGCTCGTCATGTTTTAGTCTGCTTGGGGCCCGAATTTCGTCATCCGGCTTGGGGGCTGGTCGACCGGGTTTAGCTGGTGACCTGCTGGAACCCCTGTTGTCCGCTCTCCTTGCGGCGCTCGCAGGCCGCATCCGCTTTTGTGCTCCCGTAGCCCCGTGGCCACCCGGGAGAGCGGTGACTGCTGCGGCCTCCGACGAGGTCGAACCCGCCCCGCTTGGTCTTCCGGACATCTGCGAAGGGGGGATAGTTTTGGTGGCAGGTACGGCAGGGTACGGCTCCATGTCATCTGAAAATAGTTAGTAATAGTTGTAGTAGTTGTAGTAGTAGTAGTAGTAGTAGTAGTAGTATTCATAATAGTGCGGAATGCGGTGTTCATGAATCCATCCCTCCATCCATGCACGCATCCTGCTTGCTGCAAAAGCCTTCGCACTCCGCGTGCGGGTCCCCTCACAGCCAGAATGCACACCGCCATTAAAAGTAAGAACACCGACTGGCTAGGAAAAGACAAAACAAACACCGCCGGACAGTAAGTTTTACTCTGAGCCCACACCAAGGTAGTTAGGTTGATGCGCATCGTACAACATGGCAACAGGCAAGTCGACCGTCGGGCAGGTGGGCACATCGCAACACCGCACGATGTCGTACTAGAACCAGGTGTTCATGAACCATTGCTAAACGGATGAGCAACAACAAAGCGCGTCGTGCACGTAGTCGTGTATGTGCAGACCCTCCTTGTACGACAAAGGACACATGCCCCCCGCGTTGGGGTTTCCAGCTACTTGCAAGTCAATCCATTTACGGGTGCGCATTGGTGAACATACATAAACAGCCTCATTGCTGTCTGCTGCTGGCCATACATACATAGTGATCGCGTGCCACGTATTAGCCAGCATCAGGGATGTCGATGCGTGCTAGCGCAAGCAAGCAGTGCAGCAGCAAGCAGTGCAGCAGCAAGTTGATGGACTACTACTGGCGGTTGCACAGCAGTATGTGCACAGACCGTGCAGCAGCAACCTGCATATACATCCACGGGACGGAGGTTCGCTGCACTTACCGGCGGCCGATGCTGCTGACGTGTCGGGTCAACCGCGCCGGCAGTAATGGCACTACTGCCACTGCTGCCGTAGCGTCCCTCGTCCATACCGCTGTCCTCATCAGCCTCTTCTGGAGGAGGTGGGATCTTCTTGACGGCCACCTCCACCTCCAACGCGAAGGTGTCTCTGTTCGGCCTCGGAGGCTTATCCCGTCGTCGGCTGCCGCTGCTGCTGCTGCTAGCGGGCGGGTGTGGCTGCTGCTGCTGCTGTTGCTGCCCTTCTCGTGGGCCCCGGCTGGACCTCGAGGCCCCGCTTACCGGCGCCGCAGCAACAACAACCGCTTGGGACTCGGCGGGCGTGGCGCCCATGACTTCAGTATTGGTGTCGTGATCGGATGCCACTGATGACGCGGGAGCAGGAGCGGCGGCTCTCGTGGTCGTTACTGGACGAACAGCAGCTGCGGCTGCGGCTGCGGCGCCAGTAGCAGGGCTTCCTAGATTGTCATTGTCAATGAGTGTCGGGGTTACTCGGCGGGTGGGGGGCGAAACATCACCTCCGCGGGCCCCAGCAGTGGCAGCAGTCGCTCCAAGCGCCATGGCTGTGACAGGCGTCGGGTCATCTGGCGGTGTCGCTTGCACAACATTTCTGCTGGCAAAGAAGGGCCCCACGCCGTCTGGCGCCACCACTGCATCGTTGGGAGTAGCATAGGATGCATTGTGTTCCCTCTGCATAGGTGGGTGAGGCAACAGCAGGGCAGAAGACAGAGTGGGCGACACGCAAGAAGATTCAGCAGAGGGGTTGAAAGACTATTCATATAAAAGTTACAGGTTATACATAGGTAATTTCCGCCACATGGATGTGGGGCCGCCTGTAGAAGCGGGGGGGGGCGGGCAATGGACATATACATGTGCCTGTGTGTGCCATGGACACGTAGCTAGGAGTGGCAGAAGTTGTTGAAGACTTATCCCGTCGGGCTGGGGGAGATTGTGGGGCCGATGATGGTGATGGTAATAATGACGATGATGGTGATGGTGAAGATCATGGTGATGGTGATGATCTGCGATCTGCGACTTTCTGTACCTTCTATGAAACAACGGCTAGCTGGAAAGGCTGTATCAGGGAAGCTTGTCTGTGGCACCGGCTAGCTCCCCCATGGATTTTGAATATGGGTGTCTGTCGTTTGGAGGGTAACGCAACTCCAGAAGGTGTAACTAACACACACACACATATATATATACGTACCCTATGTATGCGTGTGTTATATCACGACTTCAGAAAAGTACCGATCGGCGGATGGATGCAGATCTCGTGATACTGGTGCCCGCCCAGGATAGTACAGCGTGTAAGACGAAGAAGAGTGTATATATGCCTAGAAATGTTGCCATCATACACGAAGCCCATCACTACTGCTGTGTATGTGAACTGCAACTATAACGCACACACACACACAGACGCACGCACACACACACGCGCACCTGGCGCCTGCGGGAGCGGTAAACGAGCACCAGTATGATAAAGACCACCAGAGCGCAGAGAATACCTATTCCGCCAACGACAAGGCCGGTGATAGCGAGCCAAGAATTCCATTTTCCACTCGTGCTGCCGCCACTACTGCTACTTGGCGATGGAGGAGGAGGCGCCGTAGCAGCCGTTACAGCCTTGGTGCGATACTGCGCCGGGAATAGATACATACATACATACATACATACATACATACACCAAGAGAAACATGCAGCACGCACGCAGCCGAACAAATACGTCATCAGGCGATAATGCATTATGGATTTACATCAGTATTGGCAGTAATAGCCGCGCAGCTTTTAATTGGCGAAAACTGCCCAGGCCACGGGTGTTGCAACGCCCGTAAATCTTAGGATATCCCCAAATAGGAGTCAATGTTTCCGCACGATAGGACCGTAGCTTGCCGCCAAGCATACAACAGCATCGCTGCTAAGTCTTGTGAGGGAACCCGGACTCAAGAGGAATTATATGTATTGGCTGCCTGGTGTGGAAGCGCACCGTGCCGGGGCCCAATTACATAGAAATCAAGTCGCCTGCGTGCTGTGTCATCAGGGAAAGCAGCACATGGAAGCGATGCCAAAATCGCCGAACATGGGTAGGGGGCCATGCGGTGCAATATTACCGCAGCCCGTGCTGATGATGCTGATGCGCGAGCTGCAGCCAATCGTCAGCAGCTTCAGTTCAACGCAATCAATTTCGTATTGAAGGGTAATAACGCCAATGTACGTACATATGTACGTATGCACGTATGGACGGATGGATGGGTGGATGGATGGATGGATGGATGGATGGATGGATGGATGGATGGATGGATGGATGGATGGATGGATGGATGGATGGATGGATGGATGGATGGATGGATGGATGGATGGATGGATGCACGCATAACACCTAGCCATCACTGCACACATGCACTTACAGAGCTTCCAGTCGTCGCCCAGGAGCCGTTGAGCGGCCCCAGGGAGCACATCCCCTTGTCACTGAAGGACTGCAGCAGAGTATCATACAGCTGCTTCATGAACTGTTGGATGTCCCGAGAAGGATCAATCTGGAGTGGGGGTCCGATGAGCGATGGGGTGGCAGCAGTGGTGAGGCAGGTGAGCAGGGGCAGAACAACGGGTTAATATCGATCGAGTGTTAACCCCCCGGGGGTGCCCGCTTGCCTTATCAGATAAAAAGGGCTCGCGAGCTGATGATACAAATCAGCATCAGTCAGTAAGTAGATAGCCCAGCCAGACAGGATACCGCATCGGGCGGGCGTTGCAGCAGCAGGGGGGGGAACATACAAACAAACATACATACTGGCAGCACGTGCGTGCACAACCGCACCATCGGCCTTACGTATGTATGAGCACCGATTATCATCCCCAATTACCTTGAGAATAAAGTCGGTTTCCACCTTGGGTGCGGTGCAGTCCTGCAGGCATCGCAGTGGAACAGAAGGGTGTTTGTGTGTCTGTCCGTGTCTGTCTGTCTGTCTGTCTGTCTGTGTGCGCGTATTTATGTGCTTACGTTATCACAGCAGCGGATCTCGATAATGGAATGACTGACTGAAGGTTCTCGGGGAGTACCGATAGAAAACAGAGGTTTTCTGTGAACTCTGAAGAGTTGGTTGTAAGCATTGGTACGGCATGTAATGCCGGTAAAGAAGATCGCTCCGGTGTGCTGATGAGTGATTTTGGGGTTTCGTAGCTACATTAGGTCGCTGCTGTGAGGCGTTAGGTGTCCGCCTCGCGGTAGCTGGGGCCTCCACCCGGCCTCCACCTATCAAAGGAAGACTTAGTTCATTTGCTTGCGGGTACCCTTTGTAACATATGATGATTTCTCAGGAAAACAGATGCGTGAGGAGGTGCACTGCCGCTCTAACTTTAACTCACAGGGGCTACCTCTACCTCTACCTCTACCTGTGCCTCACCCTCTAGCTCACCCCTGCTACCTGCTAACTAATCACCGTCGAGGATGTCTTTATGCGTGTAGTGTATCTGTATGCGTGTAGTGTATCTGTATGCGTGTATCTGTCTGGACGAAGTAAGCCCGGCTAGCTGCGCATACTATGTTCAGTGAACACGCGCCATTACAACGGGGCGGTATGGAAACGATTTACTTCCGGAACAGGTGGAGCGACAGCAGGTGGAGCGACATCTGCCTATCTCCGTATCCCCCCAGGGTTTCTGGCTGCCGGTCGTCTTTATAAAGAGATATACAAAGCAAGACGCATTTTTTACTCGCACCTCAGCAGCGGCTTGCAGTGCAGCCCTTCCTCGACGTCTGCCCGCTGCGGCCCTGCAGGTGATGGTGATGTTCTGAGAGGTCAGGTTGGCTCCCTTAGCCACGTCGGCTGCCAGGTCGCCTGAATTCGTGCAGTCGATTGGTGAATCGTCCTGCATGGATACACGTGATGCCGCATACACATGTACGGCCATTCAATCGGTCCGTTTAATCTTAAGGTTGGATGATTTGGGCCACGTTGACGACATTATGGATGGGCCATGTCTGCCTTTCGAACACGTGTTTGCCTTTTGATGGAAGCAACAACACATATTTAGCTCAAACACGGGTCATGCACTGCACGCTTGCTGCTGCTGCTGCTGCTGCTGCTTGTATTAGATAGGCAGCCGACCAAGAACCGCCTGGAGCTCGACGTCCGAAGGCTATAGGATTATGCATGCAGCTAGCACACACAATAATCGCGGTCGTCAAGTGAAGATGTCATCTGTAATGCATGTCTGTATGTAACATATGTGCCATCAGGGAGTGACCACGAAACGAGCAGATCTGGGCCTTACAAGCTCTCAAGCTTGTATCATCATCAACAGCAGCAGATCAAGCTATATGCATGCTAAGGCACTCCGTCAGCATCTTAAGAAGCCTTTCCAGCGGCCAGATACTACTCTGCGTCATGTCATCATGCCGTCAGGGCACATCCCGGAACATTCGAGATTGCACGTTTTCGTTTGTCCGAGCCAGCAATTGCAAGCTAGCCGGTGGCGGCTGGGGCAAGGACTGCATGAATAGCTTAGGGGGAAGTGTGCTCGAGCTCGATGAGGAGGAGGCAAGAACGAGAAAACATCAAGCCACAGAGAAAGGGCATCAAGGTGCTATTTCGTCGGTTGTCCTGGGATGGCAGGGAAGCACATCTCTGAAATACGCATGGCAGAAAGCATGGCATGGACACATTTCGTCCGTAGAATGGAAGAGTAGTGCTAGACAACGGTAGATCTATTTCCAGGCGTAACTCGCCCCAAAGCTCCATGACGACGCAATCGATAGAAGACCATGAAAAATATTGTAAGACGATGAAAAAAGCGAGGTTAACTAAGGAGCCTACCTTAAATTTCGGAGACGTTTTCACGAAATTGTAGTCCACCTCTACATTAAAAGGTAAAGGCGGCTTTGGCGGTGATGGCGGCGGGAATGGTGGCAAGGGTGGGGGTGAAGGTGACCGAGGACGGGGTGGAAATGGTGGTGATGGAGGCGACTGTGACGGGTCCGGTGGCGGCGTCGGTGGTGGGTGCGGTGGTGTGTATGATGATGGCGGTGATGGCGGTGATGGCGGTGATGGCGGTGATGGTTCCGGGGAAGGTGGTGGAAGGGATGGTGGAGGTGACCATGGAGGCAATGGCTGAGGGAATGGTCGGGATGGTGGTAGGGAAAGTGGTGGTGGAAAAGGCGGCAGGGATGAGAGGGGCGATGGTGGCTGGGGTGGTATCGGGGAAGGCTGTTGAGATGGGGGTAGTGCTTGAGAAGGAGATGACGGTGGTGAAGGTGGCAGGGATGAGAGGGGCGAAGGTGGCTGGGGTGGTATCGGGGAAGGCTGTTGAGATGGGGGTAGTGCTTGAGAAGGAGATGACGGTGGTGAAGGTGGCAGGGATGAGAGGGGCGAAGGTGGCTGGGGTGGTATCGGGGAAGGCTGTTGAGATGGGGGTAGTGCTTGAGAAGGAGATGACGGTGGTGAAGGTGGCAGGGATGAGAGGGGCGAAGGTGGCTGGGGTGGTATCGGGGAAGGCTGTTGAGATGGGGGTAGTGCTTGAGAAGGAGATGACGGTGGTGAAGGTGGCAGGGATGAGAGGGGCGAAGGTGGCTGGGGTGGTATCGGGGAAGGCTGTTGAGATGGGGGTAGTGCTTGAGAAGGAGATGACGGTGGTGAAGGTGGCAGGGATGAGAGGGGCGAAGGTGGCTGGGGTGGCATCGGGGAAGGCTGTTGAGATGGGGGTAGTGCTTGAGAAGGAGATGACGGTGGTGAAGGTGGCAGGGATGAGAGGGGCGAAGGTGGCTGGGGTGGTATCGGGGAAGGCTGTTGAGATGGGGGTAGTGCTTGAGAAGGAGATGACGGTGGTG